CTCTCTCTCTCTCTCTCTCTCTCTCTCTCTCTCTGTCGTTCTTCCATTTCAAGGTATTAATAATTTTTCACTTTGGACATTTGTTGGTTCAGACCCATTCTTACCCTCCCGTGTTTTCACGCCCGAGTCGCGTCACACTCCCTGCGTCACACTTAGGCGTCTTGCACTTTACCATGTTCCCTTGCATAATGGTAGACTTCCCTCCTTTTTCTTCGTCGGCAGTGTTTGCTGGTTTTCCAAAACCCGACCAGTCAGTTTCTGCACGTATTCAAACCCAACTGCCTGAATATTCCACCGCGATAGACCAAAGGGTTTGAGACATTTATTATGATGGCTGCTTTTCACCACCACGTCTCGAAGGTTATCACAAGAATGCTGAGGCGTGGGGGGGTCTTGAACCCCCGGCGGGACTCGAACCCGCCCAGCCGGGACTTGAACCCGCACCTTACTCTTTCCGGGTAACTGCTCTAACCGTTGCTGTGCGATGAGGTGGAAGATTCGATCGAAACCCGGATCGAACCTATAGCACAGCATTCCTGTAGGGCAGAACTGTTCGCACCAATGGTAGTACAGAGCATCGGATTGTGTCGGGAACTCATTAATAAACCAAATTTCTAATCGAATTCCCTTTGCGATTGGTAGTAGAATTTGTTTGCGTGGCGCATCCAAAATCTGCGCCTCGCAAACAAATCCTACTTTCCACACAAGCCACTAAAAGAAGTGACTTGTGTGGAAAACTTCACTCGTTGTCCTTTTACTTGGTTTGCGTAAAGTTAGGATTAGGTAAGGTTATCCTCCTTATCCTTCCCTTCTTTTAGTTCATACTGTTTCAGAGTTTTCACTTTCAGAAGGCTTTTATAGCGCTTTTCGAACAGGTTTAGTGCAAAACGGCTGAGGTTTCCATCATAAACAGGGCACGTTCTGCCGTTGAGAGTAATTTTTGCAGAATAGTGTCCTGCCTCCAAATTTCCTTTGGTACTACCCTCCTTCTCCATCCCCAGTCCTACTTACCATCTCGCTGTTTACACAACTTTCGCAATTTCTTTTTTTCCAAAATTTGTGCCAGTTTTCTCACAAAAAAAAACTGTCGTAAAGGAGGGTATGTTGCGCTGCAGCTCACGTGAAACGAGAAAACCGGAAAGTTCAACAGGCAAGAACATTTTCCCTCAAAGGCAACAACGACCCCACCCTCCAGCGACCCCTCGTTGGAGATCACTCCGTTATTTTATATCAAGATAAGGGTAAATAAATGAAAGTCTACAAATTGCTACGTAAGAAAGGAAAGGATAAAACTCACGAATGATTGCCAAAGGAGGTCGAGGAAGTAAATATTGTCGACGAGATCAAGACAAATGGCAGTAGTCAGATAAGTAATGTAGAGCTGGCGAGCGCTCATCAGTGGCGTGTAGTGGTGAGCCTCGAGCAGGAATAAGAAAATCAGCACCGACAGTGAAAGTCCAAGTTTGAAAAGGTGATCGTCGAAAAGTTTGTCATTATTGTCCAGTGGTCCGGGTGGTAGCTGAAATTGAGAAGGATTATTCAAAAAAAACTCGCCCAGGCCCTATGGGTGATAGTGGCGCCTCTTGCCACTACAAAATTCCATTTTCTCATTGCCACTATTTTGAAAATGCTCTTACTTCGCTGTAGAAGAGGCGGAAGCAAGTGGCAACCTTCCCGACCAGAACCAACGAGTAGACGAGCCATCCGATCCAGGCGAATTTCACTTTTCCATCTGCAAAAGAACACACCCAAAGTAAACATTTGGGGTTAGGATCGTATCGTTGGTGGGTTACGGTAGAGATCTATGTGGGCGATTCGTAAATCAACTCACCGGCTGAACAGACCTCCTCCATTTGAGTTTGATTGTACTTAAGGGCAAGCACAAGTAACCACAACATGACGACGATGACAAGAGCATCGGCCCCGATCCAAGAGTACCAAATTCTATCCGATAAAACCGTGAGATAATAGTAATCTATCAAGCCTAGTTGAATAATGACAAGTACAAGACATATAATGAATGAGAATATGTCCAGACATGCTCGCAGACAGCGTCCTGAAAAGATTAATTTTTATCTATTTCTGGCAGCGTTTACCCTTTGCGGCCTTGCTCTTTAGAATCCACACCAGATTTTGATAGAATTTTTTAGCGCAGGTCGCTTGGGGGGCTACAAATGGTACTCAGCGAAGTCTTTCTAAAGGCCTGTCTTGCCACCAAAACGGCACACTTCTACCATTTTGCAGAAGTTTCCGACAGGACTTCTGGGCTCATCAGAAAGACCTGTTAATTAACACGAATTAGCAAAAGGAACTAACGAACGTTGGAAATGTTCCTCCCAACCCGAACAGCGTTCAAATTTTTTTTCTGCGATGAATTTGGCCGAAACTTCTCTGTGAGTGTGAGTTGACCCCCAAGTACAAAAATCTCTTCCTTTTAAAACGAAGAAGCTCAGCGTTCGCGTAGGCGCAAGCCCTAAAGGTAGTTTTGCGCCGGCTTCCTTACAGCGGCTGGCCAAGCTTGTTTGGGATTAATGTTCGAGAGGAAAGACGACCTCTGGGGCAAGTTTTCAGCAAATTTCCTTGGCGCAGCTCAGCGACGGGGGAAGGGGGCTTTTGCACTATCGCCAGTTCCCATCGTCGTGTTGAGTCATCCCTGTGAAACCTTGTGGAGCCATGAAGTGATACCAGTCAAAGTTCATAGAAACTACTTGTCAGTTCTTGTAAAGAAAACCTGTAAACTCTTGCAGCAAAAAAACCTGTCAGCTCTTGCAAAGGAGTGAACATGTGTCGATTAGAAGTAGCGAAAGTGCCACTGCCCCTCCCCCCGTAGGCTAAACTGAACTATTTCGTTGCTCGAGGTGTTTGCGGGCCGTTTTGGGCCAAGTGGACATAACATTTCTACTCTACTCAGGAAGTTGAACTGCTCCGAGGAATAAAGTTCCAGCGAAACTATCCACAGGTAAATTTTCGACCAAAAAATCTAGCCGGGTTGCTAAAGAGTGAGGCAGAAAAGGGTAAAATGTGTTGTATTCTCTTACAAGAAGCCTCAGAAACATTAAATATGGTCCCTTACCAGGTACAACGGCCATTGTGTGATATTTTGTGGGCGGCGGCAGAACCAAGGCCGTTTGATCGCCCGGAGCACAATTGGAGTCCGTTTTTAATGGGAAGTCTTCGCCACCGTCGTAATACGAAGCGTGTGGATTAGATTCTTCAGCGTTTTCCTCAACAACGTCTTCGATCACGTGTCGTGGATCTCGACCAATAGTCGTATTTGCGTACACCGCTTCTAAAATAACGAATGAAAGACCGAAGAATGGAAGTTATTTGGAAGGAATCAAATCAGCTAGAAAGTGATGCTGAGCATTGAAGTCCAGAATGAGAATGAGGAGCTATTTGCTATGCGGTGAAGGACAAAATGAAGCCAGTAAAAGAGCACTGGGAAGAGTTTGCGTGCTGTTGCTGCAGCTCCTCCTTTGCATGTGCATTTCTTTGAGAGCGCGAGTGCCGAAGCATTTGCGAGTTCGAAAGTTGGGGTAATCGGATTATGGCCGAACCGCCCTCACTGACACACAGCGACGTGCGTTTTTTGTGCTATCCGTTCAGGATTATCTTGTAGGGAGCTGTTTGCGGCACGGCACAGAAGAGGGGGGTGAGAATGTGATCGTCGCGCCGAACTGATTTCACCCGCCGTTGACGATGGCATTGTTTACTGCTGCCTGCAGTCATGGCTGGGAGACGATGAGGTGTGGCATTACCCCCACTGTAGTGAGTGTTTTCGTCCTTGGCGCGTACGCATTTGGAAAGAAGGCAAATTTCCAGGAAAAGATGGAGTGGGCAATTATCATTAAGCAGTAAAACCTGTGGGAGCACTTAAAGAGTACTTTTCCGGTTATGGCGGCAATTAACGAGCAAATTTTTTACGGAAATGAATGTCGGAAATGGGTGAGAGGTACACGTTGAAACGGGCGTCAAGATGTGCAAGCGAACGCTCGCGCTCGGAATGTTGAGAGGTTCTGAAGTCCCGTTCACTCGCGCTCAATTATTTGAGAGTCGGCATGTAAACAAGCAGCTGACCGAATCGGCCGTGTCTACGAGAGCCAGGAAGAAAAGCGCTTTCATAGTGAGTGATTGAGTGCGAGAGCTATGCTCGCGCTCTCAATGTGAGTAGATTTACTGTTTGCCTTGTCTTGCTCATGCTAGCGCGCGAAATTGAACGGAAGGTATAGCGCTGGGCCCAAAACTTTCAGCCAACCCTACGTGATCAGCCCGATTAGCTTCTTACATGAGCTCCGTAGTAAGTCAATTAGGCCGAAAATGAGGTTGGACAATTGGCTCTTTGAAATGACATTAGATCGTGCGACGAGGAGGAAAAAGTGAGCAAATGAGTGTAGACAGCAGGCGCCCAAGTGAGTAGGTAATTTAGCAACAGCAGCGGGACCATCCAGCACCGACCCAGATCTGTGGTGTTTGTTGTGGGGCCAACCAGACCACCACTGGAGGTGTTCGTGACTGTGACAAACGCCAATCGAATGTGTCTCCCCGTGATAAACAAATGTGTTTACATTTACATTCAGTTGCACAACACGTGGTACATTGTCCCCGGGTGAATTAGTTATAATGGTGTTGCGAAAAATTTATTTGATTTTCGGAGAGGGAAATAATTCCCCTCGTGCTTTCTTTGTAAACAGGAGAGCTATTAATAGAAAAAGGTCCCATAAAAGAAATGACTCTGCGAGCCAGGTATACGTTCATCCGTCTCAGGGCAGGACCTACCGTTGGGGGAAATTTTTGCAAAGTACAACCCCTCCCTCTCTCCCCCTAATTGCTCCTCTGCTACCGCTCCTTCCCTTACCTTTCCTCATCCTATCTAGCATCTTATTACCCTTTTATCAGCTTCCTACCTTTTTTCTCCGAAGAAAAAAAAACAGTTTCTCCTCTAAAACCGTCGAGCGGAGGAAGGAGGCTCGAGGACGAGGAAGGGGGTGTGTGCGTAATCGAAACAAAAATTACTTTAAAATAAAAAACACTTCTGAGAAATTAGCTATCGGTACAAACTTCTCAGCCGAAATACGACTCCCCTCTCTCACCGGAAAAATATATCAGAGACTCCCCAATGTTCGACATGCCCTGGTCCATATAGAAAAGCCTCTCCTTAATAGAGTCTAAGGGAATCTAAAACTGCAGCGAGAAGTTAAGAGAAACCCGAAGGGGGACCGACAAATTGGTATATGTTGATGTAAGCTTTTTAATGAGGGAGTTGCAAAATAGAATATTTCGAAGGAATGTGCCAAATTGGGAAGTGGTCTGTAAACAGATCAAGACGCTCAGAACCATGGGACATTAAGAGCGAATGAGAGACGCTCAGGAGGGGAGCAATTGGACATCCCTTTTTTGAGCTCAACTGTCTTTCGGAGGATGCTTAGTAGATTGGCTATTCGTGACAACTGAGGAGCTTGAAGTGCTCAAAATGGTCGCGTTTGCAAGGCACTGACAGGAAACTGAGTGTACTCTGATGGATTCGTTACAGTGAATATTGTCGTTGGGGAATTCCCATCCGGGGGATTGTAATGTAAGACCCCCTCCTCCCGCTTACCAAGCTTTGGCAGGCTTAAGGAGTCCCACTGAAGAAGATAAGGAAGAGTCCAGGCTTGGGGGAGGGGGTTTGTTGAAAAAATATATGGAGAAGTTGGATAAGTCGTATTGAGGAAAATTCTTCACAACAATAATATTCCCTATAACTTTTAGTGAAGTGTCAAGCAAATGGATGGCATCAGGCATCACTACACCCCCCCCCCCCCTCCAGTTTAGACTTCCAAAATTTCAGTTGTAGGCCGCTTGCCCCTCATTTAATCAGTATTGTCCTCCTCATTGTCTTGTCATCCACTAATCCTCACACTGAGGATTATTGTTGGCTCTGTTCTCACCACTTGTGATACCCTCTTCGGGTTTGTAGGGACCCTCTTCGATATCCCCCGACATTTGATTTGGTAGGTCAGCGCTACGAATCCAGCGCTGTTCGGCTTGGTGGGGGCATTTTGCTGGTTTCCATCGATGACTCCGATGCCTGCTGTGAAGACCTGTAAATTCCTGTGAAGCTATGCAATAACAGGAGCTTCGTTCAAATTTGACAGAACTAAGGTCTAACCGAGATGAGACGTGTGACTCAAAGGAACTAGTAAAAGTAGCGGAAGTGCCAAATGTCCTTCCCAAGCCGAACAGTACCGCAATTCCTATATTTGAAGATAATTGAAAGTGTTTTGTCACAGAAAGAAACTGAAGTGGATGAGACATGGAACTGATCAAGGATTGGGCGTGTTCCTCTAGAAATGTTCTTCAGGGCGTCAGAGGATGTACTTTTGGAAATTGAATTTCGCATTGGGCAAGAAGGGAAGGAGGAGCTACGGCGTCTAGAGCAGCATTGCTATGTATAATCCAAATTCGATAATTTTGAGTGAGAAATGAGTGATGATGAGGGAATGAGGTAGTTGCTGGGAGGAGGTATTAGCAGTTTTTTCCTAGCGGGAAAACATTAGCATATTTGCTTTTAGGAAAATTGAAATTCATTTTAAGCTGGCCCAGTTCGGGCGCAGGTATAAAAGAAGTTGCCTGAACACAGCCCATGAAACTAGTAGTGTCCCCCTCTCCACCCCCCCCCCCTCCCATCCCAAGTTCTAGACAGTATCAATCGATAGGATCGCATGTTAGACATGGAGAGGTAAAAATTGATCAATGATGCGAAAAAGACCACCCGAGCAGAAAATTGGATTTTCCGGCTCATTCCATAGCGGATTAATCGATTGGTGTGGGTTCAGTTCAGAAAGGAACGCGTAATTTTCGTGAAAGCTTAGCTACGTAACGGATTAGAATGTGGACAGTGCAGTGATGACCCAGTGTAAATATGTGAACAGACGCCTCCCACCATTTTGGCGCCAATAATTGAACAGTAGGTGTTGTGTGGTGAGGTCACAATGTGGTGGATACAGTGGGTGTACGAGTCTGGTCCATAAATTCTGCATAGAGCGCGATGGCATGAGAGAGCAGCGTTCAACGAGGTAAATGGCATGTTCCTATGGAATAATGGATGGCACCAAATTCCCAGAGGTGGGAATTACCCAGGCGATCGATTAGTCGTTACAGTCGAAAGAGCTACGAATCAATATCCATTGCAGTTGTGAAGTTCACATGAGGGGGTCTTATCCGGACTGTTTGGGGGATCGTCATACAGACACCAGAGTTCTTACACCACTTGATGTTTCCTGCTCCTAATGGTTTTCGCTGGTTCTTTGGTGGGAAGTGATAGGAAGGCAAAAGGAAGAAAGAGTGATGGCATTATGATTCACTAAAGCATAATTGAAAGAGACCGTTTTTAGCCGAATCGATATTTGGCCAGAAAAAAATCGATTTTGATGGACTTGAATATGATTTTGAGCCATTGGATGACCAAAAACCATGTGTAAATACTCCGAGGAATCTGGCAATTACTTCTGTGCATCTGGCAGTTACTTTTTTTCCAGGATATAGTGGTATTTTGGCTGGTCTGACTGGTTTCACAGCCCTTTTTCTGGAGTCTGGTTATTTACTGGTGCTCAATGAAGTGCCTCAATCCAGTATTAATGTTTTGTTTTTGTGTCCCTTTGTTTAGCCCAGATTCTCAGCTGCTGGGGTTTAGCTGATGGATGGCTTAGTGAGGAGGTTTTCCCCACCCATGAGTTTGACCT